CAGGGTTTTCTCAGTTTGTGTTTTCTTTATTGATTCTAGTTCTGTTTCCATGCCTTGCACCATTGATTTCATCTGTTTGAATGTGGATTCCTGTCTTTCCTTGAGGAACTTCTATATTTTTGTTTGTTTTCTCTCTATGCCACTACTTGTACCTCTACACGTGCCTGTATTTGTTTGGCTTCATTTGCCTGTATTTTTTGAGAGTTGTGTCCATTTCCTCATATGTGCCTCTAATAATTGGATAACCATAGATTTGAGATCATTTTCCTGTATTTCCAATCAAATAGAATATCCATTGATTTTGGGGGTTGCTGGTGAAGCCATGATGTCCTGATTTTTGTTGGATGTGTTCTTAAGCTGAACTCTATTCATCTGTTTATTTGTAACCTTCGTTTTTTGTTCCTGGAGTTTGTACTTCAGACTGGTTCCACCTTTCTCTGGTGTCTGGAGTATTCTTCAGGAAGATGAGAGAGGTCCACCGGTTTGAGAGTGGATGTTGGTGTTTCAGCTATAGGTAATGGAGGAAGGTCTCAGGTGCATGTGCTCAAGCATGGTCGTGTGTGTGGAAGTGTGCCTTGAAGGACAAGTTGCTAGAGCGTGTAGATGCCTGGAATGTGGAACTTAAGTGCAGGAAGGGGTGTGGGAGCCAGTTTTGTTTGAGGATGCAATGTACTTGTGCAGGTGCCCTGAATACCTCAGTGGCCTACAGGTTTGTCATACTGTGCTCCAGGTATTCAGATCTGTCTGGGCTCCAGGAACTGTTTGCCTGGTTTCCATTGGGAGACCCACAGAACAGGTGTTTCAGTGTTGAGAACCCTGTCTCAAGGATCCCTATTTTGTACCCACTGTGTATTTGGGTGGGAGGGATCTGATGTCTGGCTGCTAGTGTAGAGGGACCCTGGATCTGGGGCTCTGCACACACTCACTTAAAGGTTTACTCACTTGCTTGTAGGCTTACTTGGAAAAGACAGGGTCCTCCTTTTCTCTACTCTCAGATTTGTGCCTGCTGGAGAAAATGAGAGTGTAGGAGATCTGTGAGCTCAGTGGTGCCCGCTGTTTGGCCTCAGGGCAGGGAAACCTGTACTTGGGGTAGCCTCCTCTGCCATCTCAGTCACCAAGCACGAAGGCTCCTGTTTGGGCTAGCCGCCACCTTGCTGCTGCTGCATACCTGAGAGGCCCATACAGCAGCCTGTAGCCAGCATGGACCTGGGAAGCCTGTACAGCAGCTAACAGTCACAGAACTGGGATGCCTGCCTCTGCTGTCTCAGTCACAGAGCAGGGAGGTCCGTGCTTTGGGCAAGGGGAAGTGCAGGGGGGTTGAATATTCACCACTCTCATTCCAAGAGATATCCAGGGGTGACTTGGGTCCAAACTGTCCCAGCTCTTGGTTGTCCCCTCTGGCCCAGGAAGCCTCAATGTCGATGCTCTGGCTTCAGCTATCCCTCCACTCACCAGCTTTAGAGTTTGGAATTCTCTGCCCCTCAGATAAGGTGCATGCTGGTCACCACCATCTTGGACTCCCCTCTCTTACAGTGTTTTGTGTAGCATATATATAATGTATGTGGCTTCATCCCCATGTGACTGATTGTGAAGCTGACGTGACACTGGGCCCTTGACCTCCTTGCTTCTGGTTCCTGTGGGTGAGATGTTGGCAGCGACTGTATGTTTGTGGGGTTAACTACTAAGTGAAGTGTGCTATACCTCTCCCAGTTTTGGAAAGTAGTAACCACTTGATGGGGAGAAATATCTGTTGGGTTATAAAATATATATAAATTATTTGATTAACTCTTTAAAATTGTTTAACTCATCACTACTATAGTGAAAGAAGTTTTGATTATAAATATTTAAATTGAATTCACACTTTTGGTGAATTTAACATGAAGATAGGATCTGTGACTGCTTATATCCTTAAGTCATATACTAATAGCTGTTTTCATACTGATCTTGTGCTTTTGATATTTTAAAGCTATTATATGATTTGCTATTGTTAGCAAGCTTTCTTTTTTCATGGCAACGTTCAATTGATCATCGCTATTATAAGTAAGTGTATTGAGTTTTTGAAGTATTATCCTATCGGCTTCCCTACATAATTCTTATATATATACATATTTATATACATACATATATATGTCTATATGTGTATATAAATCTCCCCTCATAATTTCTAGTTGATTTCTTCTTATCAATTGAAAGGTAGGATCATACTTTTTTTAATTTTTATTTATATTTTTCTTGTTATTCTCATTAGTTACATTTTGTTAATTCTGTATCCCAGCTGTATCCCTCATTCCCTCCCCAATCCCACCCTTCCTCCCTCATCTCCTCCCTGCTACTTTCCAAGTCCACTGATAGGGGAGGACCTCCTCCCCTTTCATATGACTCCGTTTTGTCAGGTATTTTCAGGACTGGCTGCAAAGTCCTCCTCTGTGGCCTAACAGTACTGCTCCTCCCTTGGGAGGTGGGGAGGTCAAAGAGCCAGTCATTGAGTTCCTGTTAGAAATAGTCCTTGTTCCCCTCACTATGGGAAACTAATTGATTACTGAGCTATCACGGGTCACATCCGAGCAGAGGTTCTAGGTTTTATCCTCTCATGGTCTTTGGTTGAGTGTCCATCTCAGAAAAGACCCTGTGCCAAGATATGTTTGGTCCTTGTGGAGCTCCTATCCTTTCCACATCAAACTCCCCTTCTTTCATATGATTCCCTGCACTCTGCTGAAGGTTTGGTTATGAGTCTTAGTATCTACTTTAGAGCACTGCTAGGTAGAGTCTTTCAGATGCTTTCTGCAGTAGACTCCTGTCATACGTTCAATGCATATCCCATTTGTCTTTCTAAATGAGGATTGAGGATCATACTTTTAGTTGATTATATATTGGCCTTGGAGTTTGCTACTATGTTCCTTTTCTCTTATTTACAGGGCGACATACCAGGATCCACAATGAATACCTCAAATTTTGTATAATACTAAGGCATATATATAGTGTACTTTTTGTATACTATGATAAATATTTTATTCATAAATTAAGTATAGGAGATTATAGTATCTGTATTGAGTAATCATAATTGTATATTTTAAGATTTATCTCAATATTGTCTTTTCTGAAAATACTCCATTGTGCCATACTGACCTTTATTCTGGTAATATTGTAAGATTAGAAATTCTTATGTGCGGAGATGAAATTAGGTGCATGACCACAGTTAAGTTACTGTGTAAGTGTTGCTTCAGCACAGGTCCTTTGATACCCAACAGTTTATCTAACAAACACACCAACTACTGCATGCCCAATGGGCAGGTAGGATGTACAGGGCGGGACAGGTCCTAAACCACATAACACTGCATTTCATAATATCATTCAGAACGTCTACCCACTCTCTTAATGCACTCAACAGGCTAGAGGGAGGTGCTATCTGTGCTCAGCACATGATGTTCACAAGGGCATGAGCATCAAAGGATTAATGAGACCTGTTTATGTCTTCCACATGAAACTCCTCTTTCATTAAGTTGATCCTTATGGTATCCTGCTTTAAACCCCTGTCTTATCCAAATTATAATATATTCTTAACTGATTTATACAATCCACCCCTACCTAATTTCAGATTGTTCTGTAATAGTGACCAGAATTATTCTACCTTATAATTGCAGTTTTTTACATTATTCTCTTAATTTTTTAGTTGTTTCTAGCTATAAAAAATACTTTCATTCATTTTAACTATGACAATATTAACCAAAATATTACAAATAAAATTCTTTTTATATACATTTTTAATTTTTTATTAATTACAGTTTATTCACTTTGTATCCCCCCATAAGCTCTTCCCTCCTCCCCTCTCGATCCCACCCTCCCTTCCCCTTCTTCATGCATGCCTCTTCTCAAGTCCACTTATAGGGGAGGTCCTTTTCTCCTTCCTTCTGATCTTAGTCTATGAGATCTCATCAGGAGTGGCTGCATTGTCATCTTCTGTGGCCTGGTAAGGCTGCTCCCCACTCAGGGGGAGGTGATCAAAGAGCATGCCAATCAGATTATGTCAGAGGCAGTCCTTCTTCCCATTACTATGTAACCCACTTGGAAACTAAACTGCCATGGCTACATCTGTGCAGGGGTTCTAGGTTATCTCCAAGCCTGAAAAAGTAAAAAAAAAAATTGGGGATTTCACTCTTCTTCTGGCCTCCTGTCATGTTCAATATGGCAGCTCTCTCTTTGAGAAAGAAAGCCCTTCTCAAGGTCTTTACAGGGATGCCATTCTCATTTTCTCTCTCTAGGCCTGGCATAACCACACTGAGCTGTCTTTTGTTTGTTTTTGATTTTTACATAGGCTCTGAGTATTCAACTCAGGACCTCAGGAGAAGAGTTATACCCATTGCACATTTCCTTAACTCCTTTCTGCACTATTTTTTCTAGTTACCATTGGCTAATCTTGAGGTTGCTCTGTGTTTAAAACTGTCTATTGTGTTCTTTTTCTTCCTTTTTCCATGCTTTTGGATTTGAACAGCTCAGTCTTTAACTAGATATCTAGTCTTCCTTTGGCTTCCATCTGTATTGAATCTAAAAAGCAGGTCATTTGCTGACTTCTGCAAGCTGAGGGGAACAATTTTCTAAATTGTTGTCATGGACTTTGGTTTGGTTTCAGAATCTTTGAATCATTGTAGGCAAGTTCTAAGAAATGCCATCAAACAGCTTTTTTTTTTTTTTTTTGATAAAAATCTTAATTTGCTCAGGTATGCTTTGAATAAGTAAAGCATGCAGTTGTACCAAAATCTGCAATCCCAGAACTTGCAAAGCTGAGGCAAGAGGATTGCTGTCTGAGACCAGCCTATGGTACAGAGGAAGTTCCCGGCTGACCTGGGCTGCATAGTGAGACTTATCTGAAAATGAAAACAAACTTGAAGTGACTCTGTAGACATTCTTATGAGATTGGTACTGTAAGTCTTAGGGATCACTTTGAAATTTTAAGACTGTCCACACTGCATGTTACAGGATTGTTCCTTTTCTCTTCTGTATAGGATACTAAGTGTGATTTGCTGTGACCTGGATGCTCTTCTCTTACTGGAGGTTCAGTATCAACTATCCAACCTGTTACTACATGCTCAGGAAGAAAACACCTTTGAGACCTCTGAGAACCACAGGTTGGAAAAACAAACAAACAAACAAACAAACAAAACAAACAGAAAAGGGTGACATTAGACTGATACTGTCAGCAGTTTGCCTTACAAATGATTTGAAACTAATTTTCTGTGTTCTTTTCATACTGCCAAGCAACTACATTTAAACGACAAAGAGCCATTTAAGCGTGAATGTCACAGAAAGATAATGATACATGTTTTTGGAGAGTATCACATTTAACATTTGTTCCTTTTGTCTTAGTATATTTTCTTTAGTTTTCACGAAGTCATACCGCTTTTGAATTCATATCACTTTGGACAGTGACTCTTTGACTACAGTGCTTGTTTTAACATCTCTCTTAGAGCCATTCTGTTCCCATCATCCTACATGTCAGTTTATAGTCATAAATTCTGGTTATTTGCCAAGTGAGATTTAAGTCCCCCCCCCCCAATAAATCATATTTGTCATTACCTCAATTTGGCTGACATTTATAGTGCACAAATCTAATTGCTGTCATTTCTCTCATGTCTGTGATTCAGAAGTGCACTTCCTACCCAGGTCATGGACAGTTAGTGGGTATTTCATTTGATGTTGAGGTGTGATATAGAAAAAAAAAAACAATAGAAGCATCAGAAATTGATCAGTAGCACCTTGTGTGTCACAGACTTGTGGCACTAACTCTAGAACATCGGAGAAACTTTGTCTCTTTGGGTGTCAGCCTAGTCTTCAATGGCTGAGCCATATCTCCAGTTCAGGAGGAGCCTCGTAAAGATATGGTGTAGTCACTTCAGAAATAATAGGTTTCCCTATCTCACTTCTGTAAGTACAGGGTCATTTGTCAAGGAAATACTCTTATTAATTTCACTAACCTCTTGTCAACTACATATCCATCAATTATTTCCTCTTTAGCAAAGAACTGATAATATATGTATATATAAAGTAATATAGATTTATGTATTGTAAATCTGCTGATGACAAGTGTGTTTTGCAGATTCTTTTTTGATTCTCTCTGTGTAAATGTGTTTCTTGATGGAAAAATCAAACCATATTCAGTTAAGAAGACAGCGGAATTGATTTGAATTCTCTTGCAGGGACTTTATAATTGATGCATTATCAGTAGAGAGAAATCATGTTCTTGTAAGGATTAATCTCATTGGTGGGCCCTTAGAGCGGAATTTGCCACCAAGAATGCTTGAGAAGGTGAGTGCAAAGTTTTGACATGTTTTAAAGCTAAGTATCCAACTGAAAAGACACTAAGCAACATTTTCCAAGTGCCGACATACTAGTATTCCATGTTTGCTGCTTGACAAACTTTACAAAACAGGTAAACACATTCAAAATAAAATAGTAGTGCTGTCTTCAAGAACTCAAGAGTTGCTGGTGAGTGTCCAGGAGCTGTAGATTATGGTTTTATTACATACTTGTCATTGTTCTATGTGTCCTTGAGGTTTGAATTTTGAAGTCTTTCTCTTCATAATCCTTAACTGTTGTGTGATTTACTCAGGTTTTCCCATATGCAGTATGTATGGTCTTTATGGAGGATGTTTGTCGATAAGAACTTTCTGTGACTGCCACTCTGGAAAAGAAGAGCAAGAAATGATTGGCAAAAGAAAAATAGTTTTGTGGAGGAAAATTAAATACAGGGCTTTTAAAAATTGTATTCTTCTTTTCATAAAGAAGATCCATTATTATCAGTCCTAGTCACAGTAAAAATTTATCATACGTCCAAGTTGTTTAAAATTTCTGTTACATTTTGTTTATTGTCTTTTAGGAATAGTGGATAATAACAGCAAATAACTTTTGATTAATTGCACAGCATGTTTATGAACAAAAAAAGTCAACTTCAATGAGTGATGTTCCAAAGTTTTCTATCTTACCCCAACTCCTCAAGTTGTCTGTGCTGTTGTGGTTTTAGGGGGATGACCCGTATCCTTGGCCAATGTTTTCTTCATATCCATTGCCACACTGCTATCTGTCAGAAAGTCCACAGAGTGCTGATATAAAACAAGGTAAATATTTCCTACCAAATGTTGTTCCAGTGCTCTTTTTACAGCTTGAGAAAGATACTGTAAGAAGATAAGTGTTGACTTTATCCAACATGTGTGCATGAGTACATTACTGCCCATTTGTCTTCCTTTTTACATTTACTCTTGTTTTTTGTTTTGTGTTTTGTGTTTTGTTTTTAGTGTCTATATGAAGCCAAACAACAAGAATCACTTGCAGCAAATGTTCTAACAAATGTGTTCAGTAGCAAAAAAGACTTTGGTTTAAAGACTGAATTAGTACAGACTTCCCAAACAGCCCAGCAGTTAAAAGTACTTGTTGCTCTTACAGACGACCCCACTTCAATTTCTAACACCCACATGCTGGTTCACAACCATATGTAACCCCAGTTCTATGGTCTTTGGCACCTACTTCTGGCTTCTAGGACATTCAATACCCATGTGATACATGAAGGCAAAACACTCATATACATAAAATAAATACATATTTAAAACTTTTTTTTTTTTTCACTAATAGGGGAGGACCTCCTCCCCTTCTATCTGACCCTATCAAGTTTCATGAAGGCTGGTTGCATTATCTTCCTCTGTGGCCTGGCAAGTCTGCACCCCCCAGGGGAAGGCAATCAAGGAGCCAGCTACTGAGTTCATGTCAGAGACAACCCCTGATTCCCTTACTAAACCACTTGAAAACTGAGCAGCCTATAGGCTTCCTCTGAGCAGAGAGTCTAGGTCCTCTCCATGCATAGTCTTTGGTTTGTGCATCAGTCTCTGAAGGACACCCTGGGCCCAGTTTCTTTTGGCTTTTTTGCTTTCCTTGTAGAGCTCTGTCCCCTCCAGGTCTTTCTATAACCCCCTACTTCCATAAGGTTCCCTGCACTCTGCCCAAAGTTTGGCTATGAGTCTCAATATCTCCTTCGATACCCTGATGGGTAGAGTCTTTCAGAGGACCCCTGTGGAGGTCTTCATTATTGTTCCCTGTCTTCTCCTACTTCTGATATATATCCTGTTTTCCCTCTGAATGAGGATTCAGCCTCTTCCCTAGCATCCAGGGGAGGAGCACAGGGGGAGAAGAGGGAGGGTGGACTGGGAGGAAACGGGGTGGGGGGGAATACAGCCAGGATACAAAGTGAATAAACTGTAATAAATAATTATAAATAAATTGATTAAAAAACTTTTTTTTTTTTTTTTAGAAAACTAGGTCAGTAGCTCCTGATTAGTTAAATTTTGCATATGCATAAGTTTTCTTTATTCATCAGGATATTTTTAAAATAGCTGCTATGTTTACATAAACCCTACGTACTTAAAAACTGAATTATACTGGGGAGTATTTTGTCCCCCTTTGGAGGAATCATCATGAATGAATAATTGTTTAGCTGTGCAGTGTAGCTTGAGTGAAATGGACCAACTAGCTTGCTAGAATAGTATATAGTCAAATTGCCTTGCCAAAGAAAATCTTGTGTAAGAAGATGTATGTAGCGCAAGTAATATAATTCTGTAATCAATTAATACTAATAGAATAATGCTATTTATATAGTTCTGAGCAATAAAATAGAAGGAGAACCATTAGAAAAACCCGAAAGAAACAAATTACAATCCAGGAAACTGAGTTTGGACTGTGTGTGATCTTTGAAGGTGAAAGCAACGTGAGAGAAGGTGAGACTCATGTAAAGGACCAAGTTTGATGGTCAGGATCAGCAACACAGACTGCCAGGGGTTATGCTAAGAGTTTCTAGGCTAGAGAATTCCTACAAGATTTATGAGGATCCACAATCAAACTTTTCATTAAGTTTAGACATCCATTATTGCATCAACATCCTGTCCTTTATAATGCCATCAAATTTACACTGGAAAGAAATCATGTGTAAAAGATTTATTTCACTTTCACTTAATGCGCTTTAAAGTTCTGCCTTTGGGTTTCACTCTTGCATGACAAAATCTATTACCTTTTCAGAGTAATATTACACATTTTCCAGGAAGATGTTCTTGAGACGGTGCCCTTTGGATGTGTGCATACTTACTCTCCTCCTACAGTGAACACGTGGCATATCTAATTCTTTGCTCTCACCTTCCCATTCTTCTCTGAGTCTTTCTGCCCAGCTGTTTATACCACATCTTTAAGTTTCAACATTTATTAACCCACATGCTTGTTTCCCTAATGTACATCTCATGAGCACTGAGTACAGGGTGCTTCCTTTGGAATTATAAATAACATATCAATAGCTGTTTGTCTGTTTGGTCTTTCTTTTTCAGTACTTCACCCCTTTCCTTGATCAGTTTTTCTTGACATAATACAACACTGTTTCCTTTGCTAATTTTCATTTGAAAATAAAACATTTATTTATTATGTTTCCACATAACAGATTTGTTGTCAGTTTTATTAGCTGACTTCTAATCTTTGTTAATTTGTTTCCTCAAAATATTTTGGGAACTTAAATAAGGAAAAGGAAAATAAAGAATAAGCTATAAGTGGATATTTCCCCAAGGATAAAAGTTTCCATCAATACCTAGCAATCAGTATTAATGAAAGTATATTTTAACTCCATTCAGAAGTGATTTATAAAAGAGCAATAATGGACTCATGTTCCATCTAGAAGGTGTTAGGCAGTTGTAGGGTGTGTATCTAGGTCAATCTACTTTCCATACTCTTAGATGAGTATTTTCAAAACTATTCTCTCCTTGAGCCTTCCCTTTCCGCATCCTTCCTGTAGATAAGAACCACATTTCTCGTTTCGCTGGCGATAAAAATGGTAGGAGCATCCATGTGTTACTAATCACACTCACCCTTTGACTGCCCACGTGTCTAGGCCTTCAGTCAGGATGGTGAATGAAACGTCTGCCTTGCAAAAGCCCATTTCCGCATTCCTCTCAGTGATGGTGCTTCTTACAGCTCTTTGCTTGTCTCTCACTTTTAGGTCTTCATCCTGTGAATCTACAGTGCATCCAGAATTTCCTGAGCCTATGCTTTGATAAATTGTCTATGTGTGTGTACGTGTGTGTTTCTGTGTCTCTGTGTGTGCATGCATTATGTTCAGTAAAATAAGCCAGACAAGGGAAGGTAAATACACACACATATATGCCTATGTGTGAACATAGTCTGTTCTTCTGGAGGACCCCTACAGTAACCTCAATATCCGCAGCATAGTTCGCTATAATTCACCCTTCAGCCCTCATCAGTGCTCTGTTATATTTGTCTCATTTTTTATTGATGTGTATTAATTGTATAACAATAAGTTTCCTTAGGACATGTTCATCAATATCAATTATATACTATGATAATTTTCACTCCTCGCCTTACCTGCTCCTGTCTCCCTTCACATTCTGGTCTCCATCCTGTCCCAGGTAGCCTTCTCTTTATGTTCCAGTCTTTTTAAAAAGTCTAGAATCTGCATATAAGATGAAATGAGGTACTTTTTTCCTTTGTCTTGTATATTGCATTTAACATCATAATCTTCTCTTCAGGTAAATGACACAATTTTGTTTCTCTTTGTTTTCAAATAAAATCTCATTGTGTATGTATACCACTCTATCCTCAATTGGCGGGTATCTATGTTGCTTCTGTATCTTAGCTTCTGTGAATTCTGCTTTGGTATAAATGGATGTATAATATCTCTGTTATATGATGACTTGGATTCCTTTAGGTATGCTCAGGAATGGTATAGCCGGATCAAATGGTATTTTCGTTTTTAGTTTTGTAAGAAACCTCCATGCTGATTTCCGTAGTGGCTGTGCCAGTTTCCTCTTCCTCCACAGGGCTTACGGGTTTCCTCCCACCCCCTCCCAGTTCCAGGTATTGATTGCTGACAAGCAGGAATGGGGATTAGCTAGAAGTCAGGGTGTTGAGAAGGCCCATAGGATGAAGGAAAGTTGTGTCTGCCAGGAGCATCTGTGGAGTCAACAGGGGGTGGAGGAAGAGAGGCAAGACACACCACTGCACTTGGTTTGCTATGCGTTCAGAGCTGACAGGGAGAATTGGAACTGGAGGATACATAGAGAATGAGGGTTGCCATCTGAATCTGCATGGCAAGCAGGTTTCAAGGGAGAGATTGCCTTGGGTGTTGGCAGGTGAGACAAATTTGTAGGAGAAAAGGAAGAAAGGTTTGTAGGACAAAGGGAAGGCTGTAGAACTGTTCAGTCCCTTTGTAATGGGCACAGAGAGAAAGGAGAGGGTGCAGTCGATGCCGTGCTACCAAGGTTGGCATAAGACTGGGGGATTGGAGTTGGAGGATGGCAGGGAGAGTGACAATTGCCTACCTGCTTCCCTGTATTTAGTGGCCATGATTTCCAGGGAGACACATTTACCAATTTCCAACTCAGATCTCTTGAGTTTCTTTGCTGTAGCTGAAATTTTGTGTTTCTTGACCAAAAATCCCCCCGAACCTGGCTCTTAGACCTCCATAACCATTATTCTCCAGTTTGCTTCTAAGACTTCAAAATGAGGCTATGCAGTGTCAGTATTTCCTTGCCTGACTTATTTACCAAGTGTAATGTCCCAGAGGTTGACTCATGTTTTCACAGTGGCAGGACCTGGGTCTTTTTAAATCCTAAATTCCCTACTGCATCTTTCCCATAAGCCAAAAAGGATAGTGTTTATTTCTATTTATTTATTTACAACTTTTGTGTGTGTGTTTTTTATTCCTCTTCTTATGTATGCCCCTGTATATATGTACATGAGAGAGAGGGGTAAGGAGGCAGGCTCTCAGTGTCCTGGGAATTGCCAAGGAGTTTACATTGACAGGCGTACAGGCTTCTGGCATCAGATGTCTGTCTCCTCAATGCTGGAATTACAAGTGTGCCGCCATGCCCAGCTTTTTCACAAGGATTCTGCAGATTAAGCTTGGGTCTTTGTGCTTCCTAGGCAAGCACTTTACTCACTGAGCTCTTTCCCAAACCTCAGTTCTCTCATATTTAAATTTGCAACCCCATTTCTTTCCTTCATTTTATTGCAAAATTCCTCAAGTAAGTATCTGTGTCTTTATGTTCTGTCCTGCACCCTCCTGCAAGCTAAT